TGTAAACTGGCTTGAAGTTAACTTTTAGGCATTTATTTTACTTCCCACTTGCAAATCCCATTGCCTTTCACTACACTTTTTGTGCATTTGAACAGGGAACAGACTGGAAATATATCTGATGGAACATAGAAAACGAACACTGTTCTAATCATGCCAAAGGAGAGAAAGTGACCTTATTTACAAGTGGAAATTATAACCTGTTGGCATTTAACAGGCTGCTGTACCAGCCAGGAACACTTAGGCAGCCCAAAGTCAATGTGTTGCACTTTTTAATTTTTGCTATGCTTTCTCATGTACAGCAAAATTAGGTTAGGTAATTAAAGATGGTCTAATCAATGTTTGGTTAGAAAAATCTACTGACATAATACAAGTTTTGCAACAAGTTTAGTGAAGATCTGGTTTGGTTTCCACATTGAAATTTTTTTCCCAGAACAGAGAAAGGACCTTGTTAAAAAGCTAAACAAAATAGTCTGAAAATTTTATACTAACAAAAAGGGAAAATGGGAGTTGCTTTTGTTCATTTTATGTTTATACTTGCCTAACTAAAACATTCCAGTTGTATATTACCTTCCCTACTCCCTTGATAAATCTCAGCCAGCTAGCAAGAGTACTGGACCAGGAATACTGATAATCCTGATGGATTTATGCTGGATTTTACTTTTTCCCCCATGGAAGAATCACTTGTAGACTCACTTTTTCCATGCTTTTGATATTGAATTTTACTGATCTATGTTGAAGTTGTAAAACTTTTAAATGTGTTACTCTTTTCTTCTAATTTCAGTTTACCTGCCTGATGGTCCTTACATCATAACACTGTGGGATCTCAGCAACATCCATCTTAATGTGTTGGAAAGCACTTACTAACCTAGAATGACAAGGAAATAGCAATAAAAGTAATTGTGAAAGTCTTAGTTGTAGACTCCAGCCACCTTATTCTCCACCTGACTTTTGAGTATCCAGGGAACCAAGTGATTCCTTTCAATTGTGTGTGCAACCTTACAAAGGGTCAGCTTCATCCAAGCACTACTCTTCATGACTGCTTCACTAACATACTCCTTCCCAGGATTTAAAACAAGATTTAAATACATGGAGGACAGGACCCAAACCAAAGCCAGGAAACAGAATATGAAAACATCAGTAGTTTTGTAAGACTGTCTAAAAAGGCAATACAGTTGGAAGCATTATGAATCCAGTCCTCAGCAAGTCAGTCAGGTTCCATAGAAGTATTAGCTGCTTTTGTCTGGTGTTTAAAAAAAAAAAAAAACAACCAAAAAAAAAAACCAAAACAAAACCAAAAAAAAAACCTCGTCCAATACAGTGAAGATGGATGAAGCAATGAAACAATGCAGATCATTGTCCTGACTATCAGATAATAAAAATAATAAAAAACTGGCAGCAAGATAAACTTAGGAAATTTTTGACTGGGAAATCTTCTAGGTTAGAAATTTTAAAATCTTATCATATAGTTAAAAGAATTCAGTTTACTTCTCAAAACAATATTCAAATACTATGATCAACTACAGTCTTACAGTCTTTGAAACCAAGGGAGCGATATTAGTTTAACTGGTTGCGTAACAGGCTAGCTAATGGCAAAAAGTTTCCCAGGTCCAATATTGAAAGAGAAGTCTGAGCTGTAAAAAGAATAATTGCTACAATTTAAACTTTTTTTGAATATGTTCCCTTGAAGGAAACAACGAGAGATTTTGGAACGTGAAGCGATACCGTATACGGTATCAGTTAAGTCGAGCTCAAATGTCTTCCATGGAAATCAATCTTTTAGAGCAAAATGGTATCAAAGAGTTCAAAATAACTGTGTCAGTTTAAAAAGAAAAATTATAATAGATGTTCATTTTGTGACTTAGCTGGGTCATCTCTAAGTGAACTATTCATATACTCCATGCAAAATAACACTAGTAGAAGGGGATCAGGAAGGTGTCAGTTGCTAAGCCAAAAGGCCCTGGCCACATGGCATGTCTTTGGGCCTCCTTGCCACATTTGCAGCAAGCAATCCCTCCTCCTCCACCATTTGCAGCAAGCACGCTTATTTAAATACATCGTTACTCTAACGGAAAGATTCCAAATTGTGTCTGAGATTGAGGCTGAAATTCAGATGTGTAGAGATCAAGTATTATTATAACCCTATCTCATTCAAAAGAAAAAACTAAAATTAAAAATTCAGGGAAAGGAAAAGTTTCAGATTGGGGGCTGCTGGGGCAGAACGCACATGAGGTAGAAACTAGTTCTACATGAAGCACAGGTAGTCTAACACATGTAAAACTTTGAGGCACAAAAGCACTTCCTTTATATTTAGAAAGACTTCGAAATTGTTAAATGTTCCTTCAAAGGAGACAGGAATCTATTATGACTATGTATTTGCCAAATACTTACAAACACATCTCCTTATGAATAAATAATTACTCTTAACTTCACATGAACATTACTGTATTTAAGATGGTCACGTTTAAGATGATGTGAGAAAAGCCAGACTCTCAAAGGCTTTTGGTAGTAAATATAGCAGAGGAAGCAGCTCCTTTTCCCTATGCTGTATTGTGACAGAGTTTAAAAGAAGATCTTGATGCAGATTTAAAAAATTACGTTATTTCATCATTGTCTGCAAAAGCAATCACAACCTAATGAGTAACAGTAAATGGCATGTTTAGGGCAATAGTTCTGGCTTGCTTTCAACTTAAAAAGTGCAAATAGGATTGCATCTAGTTGGGTAGAGAAAAGGCATATTTTTGACTGCAAAACCTAAAATAATCTAGTCAGTTCCGATTTCAGCATGTATTTATCGAAATAGAGTGTTTGTAACAACTAAAGCATTTCAGCATCTGTTGCCATGACTGAAATACTAACTCGATAAAATAATACAATTTTAATGATCTGGTATGGTGAGGGTTTTGGGGGGGTTTGGGTTGTTTTTTAAACCTTAATATAAATCCATTTCTGGTGAGTTGAAAATAAGGCTTTATAGTACACCACAAAGCAGTCTCAATCAACTGATGCTGATTTATGACTTGAGGGACAACCTGTATCTAGTCTTCAGTTTAATAGTTGCTGCTTTTTGGAAAATACCCTTCAGATGAATAGCTGAGTCTGAGATCTCCAGAGTTTACTAATCTTTGCCAAAGAAAATGTTTGCTGTATTTAATACTTCCTTACAGCAACAGATTCTTCTTGTTTTGCTCTGAGTTTCAAAAATTAATGACAAAAAAAGAGCAGAAGAGATGCTCCTAAATTTCCATTAAAATATGCACAACATTATTTAAAAAGTTAGATCAGTTTTACATGTATTAGGTCTCAATGAGATTTGCAAAACAAGCTGATGTTAAAAAAAAATTGGTTTAAAAAAGTTTTAGAAATTTGTGCATTCATCATTTTTAAAAATCAACATACATGGGAAAAATTTGTTTTCATTACAGCTATCCCCCAATGAAATAGTTCATTACTACAAGACAATCACAGGAAATCACTTCTGGACTTATGCAAAGAAAACAATGTCATTTTCTCAAAAGGATAAATAATGGCATCGGGTATATATTTCAACAGAACTTCATATCCAGTTTTAACTCTAAATTCCACATTTGGAGAAGCTAGAAGTTTTATCCCTTGGCTTCTGTGGACTATCACTGACTTCAGTGTCTGTCTATCAACTTACATCTGCCTTCTCTTTAAGTTGGCACTTACACTGTAGCATTCATGGGATAATTAATAAACTTTTCATCAAGGTAAAAAGGTGATAATTATAGCCTTTTTAATGTTCCATTGCTAAAGGAGTAAAACTAAGATAACTTCTGTGAAAATTCGTTATTTGACGCACAAAGCATATAAGCAAACTTGGACTCAAAAAATGCTACATCTAACGCCAAAACAAATTAAACAAAACCAGAGAAAATTAAGTCGGGCTCAGATGTTGACCTTGGTTGAGCATTTACAATTTCTGTTGATGGAGGAGCCATGGAAGCATAATTTTGGTCCCATGTGAACTGGGGTAGTCACTTGCTGCAACTATTTCCATTTGTGACATACAAAGAGGTCACACTTTCAAAAAGTAGAGACAGTAACTGTAGTCTTAGGCTAAGGTCTGACAGTTAACTGTGGAGAACCACAAAACCTATATTTTAATATGTTCATGTATTCTGATCATAAACTATATTTTATATAGGTTCCGCACAAACAGCTTGAACGGGGAAGTTGTCATTACATGAGAACAAAATATACAGTCAAATTTGAGTGCAAATAACCTTAAAACCTTTTTCATTAATTTTCTCTTACTGTAAACAAGAACATTTGCCAACCAGTTTTTTGAATTATTAAAATTAGCAAATGGAATTTAAACTATGAAGTAAAAATAACTATTAATACTTGGTTAAATTATTAACAGCAAATTACAAAGGAAAATTTTATTACATTGTAGGTACATAAAGTCTAAAAATCTGCACTTAAAAAGCATTATTCAATATACCCTAAAAGTATTATTTCTTTGTTATTGCATATCTAAGATAGATATACTGAACTTATCATGACTATTTCACAGTCTTTGGCTTCTAGACAGATTAATAAATAATTCGAGGCCATAACTGTTATGGATGTCTCATTGTTTTATCTATTCTCTACCATTAGGGTTTATTCTTGATAAATACTTCTTTTGGTTTTTGAAAGATGAATCAATTCCTATTGACTCACACAGATGCAGCTGAAGTTTTGGTGGTTTGTTTTTTTTTTCTTTTAAACTTGGAACATGACATCTCAAGTTAGAATCTTAAGAAATCACTGTAAAAAAATCCCTATAATTTATAACAAAGAATATCTCAAATTGACAGTTTACTTTTTAAATTTTTAATCTAAGAGATAAATAATATAAAATGCCATGTAATACTGTAAGTTGATTAATAACACAGTTAATCAACATAATAGAAAGAGAGACGAATTGCTTGTTCCTCTCCACTGAAAGAACCCTGCAGGCATCAAACCTAGGTGAAATAAATGCTGCCCTCAAATTCTAAAAAACAACATTCATTTTTTAAGAGAACAAAAACCAAAAACAAAAACTCAACTTCCCCCTGTCTCTTTAGGAAGAGTGGGCATCTCACACCTTCTGCTAGAAAAAAAACACCCCGCTTGATAAGGGGCAAGACTACTTGATAAACTCATTGTCAGGCAAATCGTGAATACTTTCATTAGAATACAGTGTTCTATATTTTAACATGATATGGAGGATTTGGATATAGAGCATGTACTACTTTTCTACTGATCAGAATTAGAAGGCAGCACAGAGGACAAACTCATCAATAAATGCATGGGATAAAATCCTGCTGCCTTTATTTATGGTAAAAATTACTTTACACACATCTTGCATGTTACCACAGAGGTGCGATGGAGCTTCAAAATTACATACTGTACGTATATATAGTTCTTAGTGAACAACACGAATGCATACAAAGTGTAACCTGATGCAACAGGAGGAAAAACTATTGCTTTCACACTGGTAAGAGAATGACAAAGAAATAAAACACTTTTTAAAATGCACTTTAACTTTTTCCTGTTATTTCAAGAATGGAAAGGCCAAACCACATTGTATTCAATATTTAAAAAGCCTACCTACCATTTTTGTTAAATCATGGTCAGTTCAGTTCTATGTAGAACCATCACTCCCCAGCCAAGATATAAAGCCCAGTTGGAAATTCACATGTAAGATATGAGTTCTTTAAGAATATTACCCTAAAGCTAAAAACCACTGCAATAGATAATCAACGTACTTTTATGGCTGAATCCTAAACGTTCAATGAGAATCTCTGATGAATGGTGCAGAAACTTTGGTTTACTCATACACCACATAAGCCTCATTTATTGTCATTTCTCTAG